TAGATAGATAGATAGATAGGATAGATTAGATAGATTAGATAGATTAGATAGATTAGATAGATTAGATAGATTAGATAGATTAGATAGATTAGATAGATTAGATAGATTAGATAGATTAGATAGATTAGATAGATTAGATAGATAGATTAGATAGATTAGATAGATTAGATAGATTAGATAGATTAGATAGATTAGATAGATTAGATAGATTAGATAGATTAGATAGATTAGATAGATAAGATAGATAAGATAGATAAGATAGATAAGATATATAAGATAGATAAGATAGATAAGATAGATAAGATAGATAAGATAGATAAAATGGATAGATAGATAGATAGATAGATAGATAGATAGATAGATAGATACATAGATAGATGGATAGATAGATAGATTGATAGATAGATTGATAGATAGATAGATAGATTGATTGATAGATAGATAGATAGAGAGATAGATAGATAGAGAGATAGAGAGAGATAGAGAGAGATAGAGAGAGAGAGAGAGATAGATAGATAGATAGATAGAGACAGATAGATAGATAGATAGATAGAGATAGATAGATAGATAGAGATAGATAGATAGAGACAGATAGATAGAGATAGATAGATAGAGATAGACAGATAGATAGAGATAGATAGATAGAGATAGATAGATAGAGATAGATAGATAGAGATAGATAGATAGATAGAGATAGATAGATAGAGATAGATAGAGAGAGAGAGAGAGATAGAGAGAGATAGATAGATAGAGATAGATAGATAGAGATAGATAGATAGAGATAGATAGATAGATAGATATTTAGATAGAGATAGATAGATAGAGATAGATAGATAGATAGATAGAGATAGAGATAGAAAGATAGAGATAGATAGATAGAGATAGATAGATAGAGATAGATAGATAGATAGATAGATAGAGATAGATAGATAGAGATAGACAGATAGATAGAGATAGATAGATAGAGATAGATAGACAGATAGACAGATAGACAGATAGACAGACAGACAGACAGATAGATAGATAGATAGAGAGATAGAGAGATAGATAGATAGGATGGATGGATAGATAGATAGATAGATAGGTAGGTAGGTAGGTAGATAGATAGATCAATCGATAGATCGATCGATGGATCGATCGATGGATCCATGGATCGATGGATCGATCAATGGATAGATCGATAGAAAGCTTGGTAGCTAGATAGCAAGATAGCTAGATAGCTAGATTGATAGATTGGATAAGATAGATAAGATAAGAGAAGATAAGATAAGATAAAATAAGATAGCTAGATAGATCGATTAAATAAATTAGATAGATAAAATAAGATAATATAAAGTTAAATTAGATTAGAGAGATTAATTAGATTATATAACTAGATTGTTAATTAGATTGGTTACTTAGATTAATCAAGTATTATATTGATTAATTAGACTGATCAATTAGATTGACTAATTAGATTAATTATTAATTCATTAGATTGATTCATTAGATAGATAAATAGATATGTAGATTAACTAGATAGATAGATTAACTAGATAGCCAGATAGATAGATAGTTAGATAGATAGTTAGATAGATAGATAGATGTATAGATAGATTAGATCAGATCAGATCAGATCAGATTTGATGAGATTAGATTAGATCAGATGAGATGAGATAGATTTAGATTAGATTTAGATTTAGATTAGATTTAGATTAGATTTAGCTTTAGATTAGATTTAGATTTAGATTTAGATTAGATTTAGATTACATTTAGATTACATTTAGATTACATTTAGATTACATTTAGATTACATTTAGATTAGAGTAGATTGGATTAGATTGGATTAGGTTAAATTGGGTTATATAGATTAGGTTAGATTAGGTTAGGTTAGATTAGATTTAGATTAGATTTAGATTACATTTAGATTACATTTAGATTAGATTAGATTAGGTTAAATTGGGTTAGATTAGGTTAGATTAGGTTAGATTAGGTTAGGTTAGATTAGGTTAGATTAGATTACATTAGATTAGATTTAGATTAGATTAGATTAGATTAGAGTTAGATTAGATTTAGATTAGATTAGATTAGATTTAGATTAGACTAGATTAGATTAGATTAGATTTAGATTAGATTTAGATTTAGATTAGATTAGATTAGATTTAGATTAGATTTAGATTGGATTTAGATTGGATTTAGATTGATTGGATTTAGATTGATTGGATTTAGATTGACTGGATTTAGATTCGATTTAGATTAGATTTCGATTAGATTAGATTTGGATTAGATTTAGATTAGATTAGATTTAGATTAGATTTAGATTAGATTAGATTAGATTTAGATTAGATTTAGATTAGATTAGATTAAGATTTGAGATTGGATTAGATATAGATTAGATTAGATTAGATTATACAGATAAGATAGATAGATAGATAGATAGACAGATAGATAGATAGATAGCTTAGATAGATAGATAGATAGCTAGATAGCTAGATAGATAGATAGATAGGGATAGATAGAGATAGATAGAGATAGATAGAGATAGATAGAGATAGATAGAGATAGATAGAGATAGATAGAGATAGATAGAGATAGATAGAGATAGATAGATAGATAGCTAGATAGATAGCTAGATTCATAGGTAGATAGATAGATAGATAGATGGATAGATAGATAAATAGATAGATAGAGATAGATAGATAGATAGATGGCTAGACAGATTGATTGATAGATAGATAGATAGATGGCTAGACAGATTGATTGATTGATTGATAGATAGATGGCTAGACAGATTGATTGATTGATAGATAGGTAGATAGATAGATAGATAGGTAGATAGATAGATAGATGTGTGTGTGTGTGTCGTGTGTGTACTGTATATCGCGTGTACATACATACACATGAAGTACACACCAAGTATACTCAAGTATCAAGTTGCATTCGCATGGAGTCGCATGGAGGCTCTGATGTTGTGGTTAGGACGATTCAGGCTCTGGCAGGCCTAAAGCCTTCGCTACACTTTTCCTCCAAGCTTCACAGCCTTGTCTTGCGGCCACTGGTGAAATTTGAGAATTTCCCTATGTGACATTTGACTTTGAGATGCGTTGGGAGACTTTGGACTTGTCAGCCGCATCTCTGTCGATCCGTTTTGTATCGGACTCGATAGATATGGTACGTCATCTCTGCCGTCCGCGGCATCCGCTGCCTGGCAAGTACAAGGCACAAAGCACCGAGGCACGGCTCACGTGTCACAACACACCTTACAACACACTTTAATAATTCCAAACATGCAAAAAAAAACGGTGAAAATACTGAAATACATATTGAATCATATTGAAATGAGTTGTTTGGGTTCAAACATTTGGTTCCGTACCTCCATGTGAGCAGTGAGGCAAAGGTACTCACTCATGATCACGCGAACGGCATCCTCCGAAGACGCGGCCAACAAGTACCAGTTGTGTTCTGGATGCAAATGGCATCCTCTTACAAAAGAAAAATAAGAGTTACGCCCAATCCTGCTGCACAAGATCCTTGTGCTTGTCGTCGATGTGCTCCCTTAGCTTCAAAGTCTTTCATGAATTCGTGAGAACGCAACCTTATCCACATCTCCAAATGCCTGTGGGTCCTGGAACTTTCAGGACCAGTCCACATGACCCAAGAAGTGATTCAGTGCTCCAACGTGCCATGCTGCCAGCGCACCACCAAGCATGGCTCCCAGGGTCGACCTCACGCGCCCGCTTCAGGGCCTCAAGGGCAGGCCTGCGCTGCCAGGCCATAGCAAATCGCATCTGCATATTGATTTAAAATTGATTTACTGCATATTGTTTTATATTTGTATAGTACCAGATAGTACCATTTCATTTACGTCTACACAGGTTTATACAAAGGTTTACACAAAGGTTTACATATGCTTGTATCTGTGCACCATTTGTATGTGGACCTCTATCCATACACAAATCACCGACAGAAAGTTGAGGGATGCCGCTGGGAAGCCAATGGACCCTGATGAATATCCAGACTCTGCATCAAAGTCAGGGAGAACTCAAATGAACTCAACCCGGTGAACAAGCGCCTGATGTTCTCGTTCTGCTCATATCCCCAGCGACCTCGCAATCATGGAGCAAGACTTTCGTGGCAGCAAGAGACTTCACCAGACTTATGAGCGGTAGCAAGGCACACATCTCTGAATCTTCCAATTTGTGTCTCTCAGGCTCATTCTACGAGCGCAAAGAAGACGCAGGAACCTTACCCAAACACTTGACAAGGCTTGTCTAAAAACTGCAGGATGTATTGATGTATCAAAGGTTATCAAGTTTAGACACAGTGATTCAAAGTGTCTCCGTGTTAAAAACTGTGTCTCCGTGTCGTGTCTTGTTCTGACAGCTTTGAGGATGCAACTCAGTGGCGTTGCCACCCTTCTTCCCCACTTTATTCAGAACCTGGACACTTGGCACCACGCTCACTACGCTCACTACGCTCACAAATCTCAAGAAGAATTCAACATCTGACAGCTCAAAAGGCTCAAAATGACGTACATGAACCTGTCACAACTCGCTAGGTGGCATATATTTGGCACACATAGTCTTTTGCTGCACTTTAACTGGTCGACAATCTGGACATCAACTTTGGATGCCTAGGAGTCTAGCCACAAGCTTTGTAAAAAGCTGGCAAAAGGCCTTGGCCAAACTCGCAGTCCCTTTGGGCGCCTGCACTGAGATTTGCTTGGGAATTTTCACGGTATTCGCCAAGGGTGAAACAGAGCTCGCCAAGTGGCACTGGAAGAAATCTTAAGCCCGAGCTAGCCACCGAATTTGGTGACACAAAGACAAATCAAGAGATACAGGGTACGAAACAAATTAAATCAGACTCAGCAGATGAAATGTGCTGTGCACCTGTTCAGGTACAAAATCTGCAATCTTACAGAATCAAGGGCCTGAATTCGACTCAGTTATCCATAGCTCCTCAAGCCAATTCCTATCAAAATGGTCAAACCGGCCTGGGATCTTTCAACCTGGATATCGTCAAAACGTCTCTTTGGCCGCTTTCCCGATGTGTGACTTGGGGCTGTCCACAAAAACAGAAAGTTCCTCGAGCATTACCTGTCGCAGTCGGCATGAGTCTGGACTCGGTTCTTTTGGTCATGGAAACGATGCAGCAAAACGACGCAAGTGCTTGTAAAATCTTGTAAACAGCCTTCACCAACCCTCACCCCTCACTTCCCAGCGCTTCACAGGGCACCTTGTTTAGCGAAATTTCCATGTCGCCTAAGGAAATGCCAAGTTCAAAATCAAGGGTCTTTTTCTGACATCAGATCTGGGTGTCAGACTCATGAAATCCTCCTTTATCTTGTACCCAGAAGCACGGTTCGCCTTCTTTTCAGCCAGTTGATCAAGAAGTTCAGCTTTGTACCTGTGGTAGCGACAAAGTGACGCGCAGAACACACTACAGTGAAGAGTGCAACACACCAAAAAACGTATATCATATGTCATATATATATACACTTTTATATACTAACACACCAGCAGTTTGGTGATAAAGTGCTAAAAAGTATTATTGATTGCTACACGACCTCCTCCTTATGTGCACTGACTTCTACATAATCTTAAGGCCCTCTTGCTTACATGCTGGAGACATTGGCAAACCAAACCAAACAAATTGTTTTGATCTTTTTTTGGACACGTGCGCATACATACACGTTTTCCAGTGTTCTATTTGCAGCATCGTCACCGAGATCTTCTTTTCTGAAGATCCTGCGCATAGGACGGATACGCGCAGGATTTATGCAGGACGTCAGGTCTTTGCTGCTGACAGGCTCGTGCTTGTCCTCCTGCTTGCGCAAGTCTTTTTCAGCTTGCTTCATCACCAAGTCCTGCAAATCACAAAAAGAGACCTACTCGGAGCCTGTTTCTGTTTGAAACGTCCATCAAGCAAGAGTGACCACTCAATCCCAATTGCTGCGTATAACGCGCTGCTTTCAAGTTTCAAACAAACAGGTTTGGCAGTTTGGCAGAATTGCACGGCCTGGTGCTCTTGGAGCTTTCTCTGCTCAAACTCTTGGTCTCTCCTCAGCCTCTACACTCTACATGATCAGCAGGAGACACTGAGCAGCCACGGAACAGAGTGTATTGCTACAGAAACATCAGTAGCGAGTTGCCGATCAAAACTATCAGATCATCAAGTCAAAACGCACAAAACGCATCAAAACGTGCCTTTCTTCCTTCCTTGGCCCCAGCACCAAAATGGGTGCAACGGCAGTCCAGCCACAAGCTACTGTACTGCCATTATAACACAGTGCAGCCAACAATCTCGCTCTTGCTGTTGCATGCAAAGGAAGCCAAACAAAGTGGAAGTAGCCCTACGACATGTTTCTGGCCACATCTTCGCGCATCTTGCCACCAGGTGTCTCTTCCATTTGCTTTTGCAAAAACTCCACATTTTCCCTCCGCCAAGGTATTGCGTGCACATGCAATGCCAAACTTGAACTGAGTAGGCTAAACCGAAGTGCACCTCCTCTTTCTCCTGTGAATCTCATCTTTTCGCCGCTCCTCCTCTTCTTGACCTCAAGGCATTCATGGCGCGGTCAGCTTGACTGCACCTTCCTCTTGGGACAGCTCTGCAGCTGTTTAGGCAAAGATGGAAGTGGAAGAAGTGGAAGAAGTGGAAGAAGTGGAAGAAGGATGAAGACGTTCAGGAGGTGACGTGGCAGAGTGACAAACGTCTCTGCTGTTCCATGCCCCCAGGCCCCCAGGCGATCAGCAGCTGACCGAATGGGTGCCAATTCCTGAAGCTCTTGTTGAATGCGCTCGTTACCTGCGAAAAGTTGGGGACTCTGCCTGTGAAGTCTTGAACAGAAGAGGACACAGAAAACTGTAGCTGGATCTGTGGGGAGGGTGTGCAAGTGGCAGGCTTGCATGGCATAGCGGCATAGCGCATAATCTGCATGTATATGTGCATGTGTGTGTGTGTGCATTCGAATATGTATAGAGTCTAGAGTCAGGAAGGCATCTTTTCACAAGTACACTACAAGTATACTACACCCGTGTCTTCCGGTATAACCATCAAATGTGTCCTCTCCATCTGGGCAGAGTGTCTCCAGTTTGCAGAAAATGAGAAAGCATCCAGTCTGCCAAGAAACGCTTGTTCAGCCGATCCGTTCGGGCCACATCCTTACGCAAGGACTGTGAAATGCTTCCAAACATGTGGAGGTCTTGTGCCAGTGGCCTTGCCTGCAAACATTTAAATCCAAACAAAACAAAGAAATCGGGCTGTGTTCTATTTAACTAGCGGACTTAGTTCGCGCACCTCGTTCACTGTTTGAGTGCTTATCTATTCGTCGATCCATAAACAAAAACAGACAAGTTCTATCCACATGTTTTTTGTGTGCATCTATGGGCACCATGTGTATATATATATATAGTGCTTTCCATATGTAATGTAATGTAATATAGTTTTATGTAATGTAATGTGATGCAATGTATTGCAATGTAATGTAATGTAAGGTAATGGAATGGAATGAAATGAAATGGAATGAAATGAAATGGAATGAAAGGGAATGAAACAGAATGAAATGGAATGAAATGGAATGAAATATAATGGAATAAATATAATGGAATAAATATAATGGAATAAATATAGTGGAATGAATATTGATAATGAAATGAATATAATAGAATGAATACAATGCAATGAATATGATGGACTGTATGTAATGGAATCTAACGGAATCGAATGGAATGGAATGTATATATATATAATGGAATGGAATGTATATATATATATAATAGAATGTAATGGAATGTGATGTCATCGAATGTAATGCAATTTATGTGTACACATCATGAAACACATTACATTGCATCAGCAGTGCACTAAATTACACTAACACTGCACAAACACAACATAACAAAGCAGAACAGAACAATAAAAACATACATACACACAGACAAGTCGGGTATATATATATACATAAATACATACATTAATTACATTACATTGCATTGCATTGCATTGCATTGCATTGCATTGCATTGCATTGCATTGCATTGCATGCATGCATACATACATACATATGCAGCAACATATTTATGCCGTAACTACGAATATTGTAGATTTGGCCAGTGCATTCACTTTGATTTCAGTTCAAGCTTGTCACTGTCCCTTTTCCTTTAGACTGCAATCTCCTTAAGCTTAGAATCTTAGAAGTGGAAGCCTGTTCACAACGTGGGGAAACGTGCCCTATTATCAAGCTTTATTACTCAGTTTGACCCCATCGCTTCACGCCTTTCTCAGATGGAGTCTGGCAAAGAAATGAGAGCGCTCCGTTTTGGCCTGGCAAATCCAACCAGTGCGCCGTCAAGAAGAAACCATAAGAAACCAGCCGTAGAAATGACATGAAATCCACGGGAGTTCAGAATCACACAAGTCTTCACCAAGCCGTGTCCAGCTGTGTCACCTGTTCCAGAATCTCTTGATTCTCCCGGCGCATGATCTCAGCAGCTTCCTCTCTCCTGCCACACTCAGAACTGGGCCTACCCTTGCTACAACACCTGCTGTGAGACTGTGAGAGAAAAACATTTCAGCACTGTGTTATATACAAGAGCCGAAGACCCAGTGCTCCTCCGTTCAAAAACAGTCATGCCCAGCCGCCCAGCCTCTGTTTCTCGATTGCCCGCAGTTGTGCTTCCCATCGTCGTTGATCCAATCCTCTCTGCCTGAAGGGTGAAACAAGGCGTTAATTATTTAGTTCAGATTCGAGTTCGCATCTGACATGATAGATATGGGACCAAACAGCATCACACAGCATCACACAGCATTCAATGGCATCAAATCGTTTGAGCTCTGAGGGGAGCACCTTTGTTCAGCCCAGGCCTGTGCCTGCGTTTGATCCATGACCCGACGAATCTCCTCAGGGGCTAGCAGGACCGGAAACAAGAAAAGCAGATACAAGTGCAGTATAGTATAAGCATGTCTAACCTGTATCTCTATATATATATAGTTATATATATATGTGTGTGTGGGGTGAGTAGTAGAGTCATCTCAATATCGCTGCTACTTTCTGTATCAGTCTTTTCCAGCACCTTGCCTAAAATATACTAAATATTCTAAAATGGAGATCATGCTGATCACAAGAGTATTCCCTGTCAACCGCCTGCCTTCCTTTTGGCAATTTCGACTTTCTCTTCTTCCATAAGGCGGATGGCCCTCTGATTCTCCTGGAGGGCAATTGTTACCTAGAGATTTCATGGTCGGAGCCAAGCTGCATGCACGCCGAACCGAAATATGTGGTAAATGCGGCAGTCATCGGCAGTCCTTCTGTGCCTGTTTTACGTCAGACCACTTTTCCTCCTGCTTGCGGCCTCCAGTGAGGACAAGACTCTCAGACTCTCAAACTAATCTTGTCACGTTCTCCAACCGGGCAAGACTTCGAGACTGAGTCCAGAACTCTGCGCTGCAGACACCTGTGATAGTATGTCGTCCTTCAATCCTTAGCCAAACATGAGCTCTTCCCTCCTGTGTACGGCCAGTCTATCTCACTTTGCCTCTTGCACGACGTGTACACAGAGAAAGCTGGTACACTGCAACACCTCGAAAAAACACTTATATAAAAGAATGCCACGCTTCGGATCATCTTCTCCTGACGTGTTTGGGTTGTTGCCAGCTCCTGCCACAATCGATTTTCGATCTCTCCACGGCTGGACTCAAATGACCATTCGAATCCCCCAAAATGCCCGAAAAGTCGTAACATGTAGTAACACATCATCTCAGTACCTAGTCACGAAGTAGTCCCTTCAGCTCACTCTCTCTTTGATTTTTCTCAGTCTTAGGCGCTCCTCAAGGCGTACTTGCTCGCGGTCCTTGTCAGCTAAAGCCTCACGACTCACATGACTCACGTGGAGCAAACGTCAGCAGGAGCCAACAAAGACGAAAGCTTGTCTACATTCAGTGAGTTTAAACTGTGAGAGTAGGAAACATGAGGCAAAGAAGAAAGAAGAATATTCCAACGAAATCAGCACAAGCTCTTCATTGAACCAATCTGATCCTGGATGATCTACATCACCAGCAGAACTGTTGGCATGCCATGACATTCAGAAATTGAGTTCAGAACCCTCACCACAACTTTCTCTTCATTTTCTTTCTCCTGATGGCCCAGTGATGAGGCATGCTTACATTTGGCATCATTTGGCATGTGCAATGGTCGCATGGAGAGTTTGATGAATTTGAGAGTTAGTGCCAAGTCAGTGCATGTCGGATGCCCCAGCCTTCTCTTTCAATCGCTCCTCCACCTGGCCCTTGAGGAACTCTCTGTACCCTGTCAAGGCTGGAAATTGTGCCCAGCATTCCATATCTCTCTCGCATATATGGATATGTATTACAGTATGCAGTATACATCTTGAGCCTCCTCATCAATCATCTTCAAAGAAGAATAATGGCTTTGAAAAAAACATCACCAAACAAAGACAAGCCTGGACTTTCGCTCTCGGTCTACTAGCTGCTGTTCCTGCTTTTCGTCCTCCAAGCACCCAACATGGCAAAAGCGACCCATGGAGGAAAGACTGCAGAATGGGCAGAATGGGCGATGCAACTCAGGGTGAGTGGAAGCCTCCATTCGCTGCTTTTCAATAGCAGCAACAACAGACCATCTTGCAAGCTCGTGGATGTCAGGGGTTGCCTCGCAACAGCACGCAGGGTTATACAAGAGTGTATAAGAGATTCAAGTGCTGTGCCCCCATGCCTTAGCTAGGTCTCTCTCTCAGGTACTTCCGTCTTTTTTTCATTCCAACACGGCAAGCTCTACGTGCAAGTGCCCATCTGAAACAACCGACTGCCTTCCCTCGCAACTGCCGCTCGCGTGCAGAATTGGGGACTGGGAGGTCCATTACCTGTGCCGTCACGATCTTCATGAAACTATTTTCGATCTGGCCCTTATGATACAGTGCTGACAATGTCATAAAGTACCCTGATGATGTTCATAAGGTCACATCCTGCATCCCGGAACCTTCTCGGTATCTGGAGGGACTCTTGCAGACAACCTCAAGCTGATTCTCTTTTCGCAGGCCTTTTCCAAAACCCTAATCAACCTGCATATATAGTGCACCGGCTACTATATTTGGACCATATGCATCTGTCTGCACGGATTGTGTGATTAAACCAGCTTTGCATGCCAACAGCAGCGTTTCAGAGTGCTAGCGTTCTAAAGGATTGTTCCGGCTTTGGGCTGGCAACCAATGGACCAAACTGTGCGCCATTCCTAGAAGCTGGCGATGGAAACCCAGGCAATGCTCAGAGACAGGCAACATGCCCTGACAAAATTATCTTTGAAAAGAAAAGCAAAAACCGGCAGAATGGATTAGGGCTCATTCTGCACTATGCTCGCAAAGCAACACATCCGGTGGCTTCAGTTTGACGGAAGAGCCTCAGATACAAAACCAAATCGTAACCGGGGCTCTGTGGCAAATTCATGCAAATTCAATAAATTCAGGATTGCAAAGCCTTCCACAGAAACTCCCCAAGTCAGGCCCAAGTCACACTGCACACGTCTGGCCAAGCGGTCCAAGTTGGTAGCAGAAACACGGCCCCGGTCCAAGAATTCCCCAACCTGTCAGAGAAGCGCCCAATGGCCCGGCAACATCCACACAATAGCGCACATTGATGCACATTGTCTAGAGTCTCTGGGCACTAGATTTGTTTATCAAAGAACTTCTTCCGCCTCCTTCTCGATTGTGTCTTTTGGAAAGCCTTTTGTTTCCAACTCACTAGTCCTCAGTCTGGAAAATGATTGCTGGTTGCATAGCACAAAAAGCAATCTCCACTGTGGCTAGTGACTCGGGCTAGTGACTAGGGCTAATGTGGTCGATCTGGACCAGCAGCCTTCTCTTACTCTTCCCTGACGAGGCACAAGGCTTTTGCCAAGACCTCGCGTTGCTCTCCATTCACATGGCCGCGACCATTCTGCTCCAGCCAAGCCGCACCTGAAGATTGAACCATTGTGAAACATCACCATATCAAGACTTATCACAACCATAGACCCACCACACAACAGACACAACATCTGCACAATCAAAGACCCTTTAGTTCTGAAGTTTGGCTCAGGCACCGATGGGCGCTGCTATGCTTGGAGCCATCTGTGCTCTGCTATTCTCTGCTGAAATGATGCAAGGCTGCAGATGCAGGCGAAGGTTTGTAACGGCTACATGACATTGCAGAAGACTAGTTCGCCACGTCCATATTCGCAAAGTCGACTCATTCTCGCAAAATATTCGCAGGAAGGGAAACCATTATATAATGTTAATGTTAATGTTATGTTTTGTTCAGCTGTAACAGGAATTCAGCCAAACTGAAGAGCTGACTTGGCACAAGGAGTCATCGATGTGCGATGTCTCCAACAGAATCAACGGCCTGGAGTAGGCTTCGCCAAAAGAACCGTAACCCCAACTGAAGAGATGCGACCAGTTTTTTTAAGAGGTTTTGATTACCTATTTGGCAGAAGATTCACGTTTGAAGGCGACATCTTTCCCAAGCCTTGCATCTTCATCATCCAAGAAAATCTTCATAATTGGCCTTACCTCAGGGGAACTGTGCCGGCCTACCTTTCGGCAAGCAAATGCAATAGAGAAGCCATGCGTCATCGCTGACCCTTCAAGCTCAAGGCCAAATGTGGACGTATGATGTACCTCGTGCATGCTGGTGTAAGATTTACACCCAAGTGATCCAAGACTTGACTCGGACGAAGTCAGCAAGGACAGAACAAACTCAAATCTCTAAAGCTTTGTACGTAAAGCTTGGCTCGTTGATCGGATGGAGCGTGAAACCTAAAGCCGCTGCATCTTCAGAACAATGAAATTATCGCCTTTGCATCCTCTGCAGTCCGGTAGTGTGCTACAAAGTTGCTGCATCTGTGAGACTCTGGCCGTAAGTCCTGTATAGCAGCATGTTGGACCTTCACTACATCAGGGGAAAGAGCCCCAGTAGCCGAAACTCACATTTGAAACATGTTGAAAAAGGGCCGATTCATTCGAGACAATGGATACACAGAATGACGTTGAGAACGGCCTGTTGGCCCAGCATCTGCAGGAATACAGAGGAGGAACCCTCAAAAAATCTCCACTTCTTTCAATTTCTCTCAACTTCTCTCAACTTCTCTGGTCTGGCTAAAGATGCCACCTTACAGACCCATCCCTTTGTTGCCTCGCACCATAGGTGGTGAAAAGCTCCTCACCCGCATTGTGGGCCTCAAAGACTCAATGTCGAAACACATCGCACATGTTCGTTCCATGTGTCTTCCTGCTTTTCAGGAACAATCAAATTTCAATAGTGCGTAAGGAAGAGAAAGTAGGGAAAGCGGTTTTGCTCAAAAATGTGGCAGCAATAGAACCACACATGCGATTTTGAGCACCAGACATTCACTACAAACTACAGATATCTACAGATCATCCGATTTCGAGGCCGACCATTTTTGGCCATATAGGACCGTGCGAAAAAGGCTCCGACACGAACTGCGGTGACAATCATGGCTTCTGCCTATCACCAGCACAATTCAGTTCGTAGTACGTAGGGCGCAGCCACTCAAAACAAAAGGGCAAACAGAAAATTGAAAAAATTGAAAAGGACTGTCAGCCGCTCCTTCGCATCCCAGCTCCACAGAACGCCTGGTGTCAGAGTTGGCGAATGATTCAACCTCGGTTCAAGTGTGCGAAGGCATTTTAAAACTTGTAAAGCAGCCACTCCTTGCAACCTAAACCGAAACTTGGGCTGAGCTTGAAACAAGTCGGCCACTGGCACTAATGTAGTATCTACACCTAGGTTGCAGGTCTCATCCAAACTGTCGTGGAATGGCTGGAACGTAGCTCACTTGGACTGCATCGCACACTGAGAAGCTGGCAGGTCTGGAAAACCCTCGTTTGCCTGACACAAATGTTTCGTAGAGCGGAAGTGCCAAACAGCTTCAGGGAGGCTCTGTGCGAGCCAATGAGGCTGTGGCGCGCTCATTCGGGCACGCAAGAACATCTCTGCCTGCAAATGCATTAGTGCTCTCAAGCAGAGATCTGAAAAATCTGAAATTCATCCAACCCTTTGCCAAACTCTATGCTTACAGGATTGCTTACAGGATTGCTTACAGGATTGCTTGACGCTTGGCTAAACAAAATGACGGATCTGGGATTCTGTTCTCAGGACTCTCGAAAGAGGCCATCCTTGCCTCAAGCCGCTCTGGCATTCCAGCAACCTCGCTTGACCTGGCAACTGCCCCAACTTAGTGATGGTGAATGCTCATTGCTGAACCATTGGTCCCTTGGCAATAGTTCCTTCGACCGCAGCTTCGCTTCCATTTTCACCTTACACGCCTCCCTAGAGAAAAGTCAAATCAGTCATGTCATTTTAATTCATTACATATATATATATAAATAATATGTAGTATGTATGTATGTCTGTCTGTCTGTCTGTCTGTCAGCCTGTCAGTCTGTCAGTCTGTCAGCCTGTCAGTTTGTCAGTCTGTCTGTGACTATCTATCTATCTATCTATCACGAAAGCTAGCGTCGGCTAGCTGGAGTCTTCTTGCTTTAGCAAGTATTGGTGGGGCTGCTCAAGGACATCACGTGATTTTTCACGCGAAAGGGGGGGACCCCCTGTTTTTGTTTCGACCTAATACCTACATAGGTACATGCATGAGTATTGAGCACATTTATATGCGCCCTTCAAGGCTCAAGAGGTATATAGAGTAACCCTGTAGACAAGCACTGACAGGCAACAGGCTGAGAGTAAAAGAGTGCTGTCATTGGGGAAGACGCCTTAGCTGATCTTGAAGTAGACGCTAGGGCCCCTCTTCAAGTGGTAGCGGAGCAGTGATCCCTCATTGAGGGTGAGCTCCAGGTAGAGCCCAAGAAATGGCAAGCCATGGCTATGATGATGATGACTTCGACATTGTCGATGCAAATGAATGGAACCAATATGACTCTTATGCAATGAGAAGAGCACCCCAGCATACACAGATTCATATGACGCAACAGATGACCACAAAGGTTGCTCCAGCCTATGATGGGCGAACCAGCTTCTTTGCTTTTGAGGATGCAATTGATGACTGGTGTGACATTACGGAGTTAGAACCAGAGAAACGTGGTCCAGCATTGCGCAACAGACTGGAAGGAGATGCTCAACAATACAAGAGGCTATTGGATAGAGAATTACTCAGGGATCCCTATGAAGGAGTGGCTTATTTCAAAAGATTTCTACGACCTCATTTCATCAAAGGTGCCCAGAACGTGTTCTTATACCGTTTCATGCAGTTCATGAAGTTCAACAGAGGAACCATGGATCTTCAGAAGTGGATGACTAGATTTCAACTCACTGGCAATAGACTTATTGAGTCTTGGATGGATTTACTTCCAGAAGTAACAGTGACTAGTCCTGAAGCAATTCTGTTTGTTCAACAACGACGTCAAGAACATGAACGAGATCAACAAGAGAGAGCTGAAGTAGCAGCAGCCTCAGGAACACCCCATGTAGCTGTTCCTTGGACAGATGAACTGGCACTAGCGGCATTCAGACAATTTCAGGAAAATCGTAGAGAAGCACAGCGACAAGCATTCCCACTGGGTGAAAATTTGCTAGCATTGATTTTTGTAAGTCTAGCTGACCTGAGTCAAGATCAGAGAAACACACTCACAAGTATCATGACACATCGTGGACGAACCCTCGATCGATACAGTATTCAAGAACTACGTGACCTGTTTTTGGAAATGTTTTGCACTACCAAAACAGCAGTTGACAATCCATTGATGCAACCCTCTGGCATGGCACAGAGAAGATCTTTCCTCGTACTGGATGAAGGTGAATTAGAAGGAACCGACGGCTATTGGGCCGAAGATGAAGAAGACGGCGCAGAAGGATTCCTGGATGCCTTAGAAGATGTTTTCTGGGTTTATGATGACGCCAACTTCACATGGTATCAGAGAAGGTTCCAAGGCAAATACATCAGACGAGGCAAAGGTAAAGGAAAGAGAAAAGGAAAAGGAAAAGGCAGAGGAGGACGAAGGTTCTTCAAATCAAGAAAAGGAAAAGGCCGAGGAAAAGGAAGAAGAAAAGGCCGTGCTCACATGGTGAGTGAAGAAGGTTATGAAGATGAATGGCAAGAAGATGAATGGAATGAAAACTATGACGGCTATTGGGCCGATGATCAAACCTGGAATGAAGGCTATTGGGCCTATGATGATCTGTACTACATGGATGAGTATGGATACTTCCAGAAGAAAGGAAAAGGAAAAGGAAAAGGAAAGAAAGGCAAGAAAGGCAAGGATGATGATGGAAAAGGAGGAAAGCCAGGAGATGGAAAAGGCAAGTCGAACTATGTTCAACCTCAGACCACATCAGCTCCTGCCATACAGAATCAACCAACTCAACAAGCTCATTATTCTTCTGCAGCTTCAAGTTCTGGTCATGGTTTCTTTTCATTTGGAACAACTGAACCAGCACGTGTTGATGTTGCAGAGACAGAGCCAGCACGTGTTGATGTTTTGACATCCACGTATGCAGCACAAGATGAACAACGACGTACTCGTCGTGGAGGACAGAACCAACGTGATGCAAGAGCACATCAAAACAGGAGAGAAATGAAGAGATTCCCTGTTCTGGTTGGAGAAGTTGGTGCACTACGACAAGGTGTACAACAACGTCCAGCTGTAGTGCCCAGGCAAGTTGGTCTTCAAGAAGGTGAGGCTTCATGGAAGCCATTGGCAGAAGGCACATCATTGTTTTCACATGGATGCTCTACAGAGATAGAGGAACCATCACAGCAGAGTGCTTTTTCATTTCATACTGTACAAACTGATCTGGCATGTGAGAATGGACTAGCTTTTCACACAGAGAATTCTGCACCACCAACTGTGTGTATTCTGGATCTTGGATGCACAAGAGCTATGGGCTCTCGACGAGCAGTTGAAGCATTTTGCAGATATGTTGACTCACATCCCAACAGTGGACTCTGGTATGAAATTCAGCCAACAAGTTCAAGATTCTTCTTTGCAAACTCACAACAATCAAAATGTACTGAGAAGCTCGTGATATTCATGTATGATCATGGATGGAACACTCAGTTTACAGAATTCGACATTGTCGAAGAAGGTGATGTCCCGTTATTGATGTCACTTCCACAGATGAGAAACCTTGGATTTCAATTTGAACTTACTCCAGAGAAGGCTTATTTGTCCTGTGCACGTATTGGCATGAGAAAAATGGTTTTGAGGACAGCCATTAGTACTCATCTCATTCTCGACCTACAAGATGTAGCATGGTACATGAGCCAAGTTCATTTCAAGACTCCACAAGTCAAAAGTTTCTATTCACAACACGATCACTTTGAGTACAGTCAGATTGCTGTCAAACAAGATGATCATGAAGGAGAAGCTTTGGTGACTGGTGACTACTGGCAGGTTGATCCACTACGTCGTGAACTCATCAGGCACCACAAGGACAAGAGAATGAACTTACATGAGATGACTCGATCAGAGAAAACTCCAATTCCAAAAGATCAACTTCTTGATGAGAGAGAAACCCACATGGAATTCCAGAAGAGCAAGAAGAAGGTTCTTCACAAGGACAACTGGCGCACTGAGAAGAAGAGGTTTTCTGAACAGAGTGAAGAGTTCTGGAAGGGCAAGACCATCTACAAGATCAAGGAGGACTACGTGATCCCAGATGACATTGTCAGAAGTGACATTGATCGTGCAAAGCCCTTTCGTGGAAACATTGATGATCTTTTTCACCCTGAGTCAGCCTCTTCAGTGCCATCAGGTGTACAGAAGAAGAAGCCAAGCTCCTTAAAGAAGGAGGAAGGCAAACCGATTTCAAATGGACCAGGCTCGAAAAAGATTGAGGTAGGTCCACCTGCAGCCAAAAGACACGTAGGTAAGCAGAAACCTCAGGTTGTCGATGACTCTCAATCAGGTTCATCAAGAAAGAAGGTTGTTGTCTCCTATCCCAAGCTTGATGAAGAAGATGAGCTTGATAAGGTAGCTAGGGAGTTAGGTTTGGACAAAATTGATTCAGATGAACCTCAAGTCATTGAACCAAAACATTCTGCACCTGCGCGCAACCGTGGTAAGCAAGATTCAGAAAGTCAAGTTGAGAAACTAGGTAGTGATGCTCTTGAGCCTAGGCGAGTTTCGATTCCACTGCCTGGTAGTGAAGTGCAAGCCATGACACCAGCATACAGAAAGATGCTCAGGAAACTGGAGGATAGTGTGGAACTTTACAAGCTTCATATCAAACACTATCACATGTCTCCTACTCAATTCAGACGAAGGACTTCCATGTTAGGACTTCCTGACTCTGTCTATCAGAAGTATGAGGAGATGTACAACAAGTGTCGTGTGTGTAGTACTTCCATTGCACCACCGCCGCGAGCCAGAATTTCAGGCATACGATCCACCAACTTTGGAGATGTTATCTTTGTTGATCATGCTGAAATTCAGTTGAGGAAGAACAAGTACATGGTGTTGCTTGTTCTTGATGGTGCAACCAACTTACTTTGGGCTACGGCACAAAACTCACTGAACAACAAGGAGACCATTCAGGCTCTAAGGTTGTGGAGTGATGAACACAATTGTATGCCTAAAGCCATTGTAGGTGATGAAGCTTTCTTTCAAGAAGACTTTCTGACTTATTACCGAACTCATGGTATCAAGGAATGTCCCTGTGGTTCAAGAACCCCATGGCCTAACAGAGCTGAATCAGCTGTCAGACTTTTCAAACGACAATGGCAAATCATGTCCAAGAACCTTGAAGATGATAGGTTCAAAGGAATCACCATCAGAGAAGCTGTGAAGCGTACTGTTTGGGCCAGAAACACTCAACTCACTGTTAGTGGTTATTCTCCTTTGGAAATTGCCACTGGTAGAAGACCACCAGATCTTCTGGATATTGAGACTTCTGATCCTGCTCAACTTAGTGTTGACCCTTTACCTGAAGACAGAACACAACTCGAGTTGCAAAGGTTAGCACTGAGGGCACATCAGGAAGCCAGACAAGCTGCTGACCTCAGACATGACATGGCCAAACGAACAATGCCATCAGATGGACCTTACAAACCAGGTGACAAGGTTTTCGTTTGGAGTTCCCCTGTCAATGCTAATGCTATTGCTTCAAAGGCATGGAAGAAGGAAAGATGGATCAGAGGTACTGTTATCTCTCAAGAAGGTGCTATGGTCAATGTTCATGTTGACA